ATTCTTAGTAGTATATTTAGTACAATTTCGTTCTATTTCTTATTAGAAATGGGAGGAAATTCTAGAGTTATATAGTAGGAAAACGTCTCCATATTTAATAGAAGAATTTCGTCAAACAAGATGAATTCTTTTTATTTTCCTTTAAAGGATTTTAAGGGAGAAGTTAAGGATTTTCCTTTATTTTCTTTAAAAAAATCTTAGTTAGAAGCAGTCTAGTAGGATAATTCCTACTAGACTGAGAAAAACACAACTAATATTTTATGGTGTGGGTAAAAAAGATTAAAAATAAGATATGGTAGGATATATTTGAGAAGTGTTTTCCTACTAAAATCGCTTTTAAATTCTTCAAAAGACGATATTCTTTCGAAAAAAGGGAGTAAATTCTGTGACTCTTCCTTCGTTTCCTGGACAAAAAAGGAAGGAGTGTCAATGAATTTCAACCTGCATACTCCGATAGGAGTGAGAATAAAAACAAAAACCATTTGTTTTAATAGTGTTAGACCTATTTTTCTTAGTAGAAAACATATTTTAAGATGTATAATCAACATCTTTCGAGGCTCGAAAGTGTATGATTTTCAAGAGACGATAAAAGTGAAAAATCGATTTTTTGGGGTTGTTTACGAAGTTTCGATCGGTCTGGAGACCTTTATTCTGTAAATAAGTAGATTTTCATCACGCGAAAATCTATTTATAAGATCTTGTTTGGCTTCCAAAGTGAGTATATATTTGCCTTTGGAACAATTTAACAATGGAGGAAGGAGTTTCGAAGTTGGAAAAAATTGGGATGAAAAGAGGTTTAAATTATGTAAATTTATTCAAAAACAAAGCTTAACTCAACAAAACTTTTTTAATTTATATAAAAATAAGATTTTGAGGAGGAAGAGGAGGAGGAGGAGAAGGAAGAAGAGGAGGAAATTCTTTTTGTAAATTTGAACACAAAAGCTAAAAAGTTATTAATGACCAATTCATTAAAACTTTATTGGTTGAGGTAAACAATACTTTTGTAAACGTCAACAAAAGCGCCTAAATTTTCACTTTGCTAACTGGATAATTGAATAAACTTCATACAATTAAACGTTAAAAAGAGAGAAGATAATGAGGCGAAACGTACTGGTGACATTACGTCGTATCCAGCTGTGCATTCATGGTTGGCAACCATATAGAGTTGACACTTCAAAACAAATACTGTCCCCACTAAATACGTCACTTATATTTATGATCTTGGCTATTGTACTTTAAACTATCCTTAAAGTACTCCATTCCTCACATTTGTCATACAATTTTTCTCCAGTTTTTTTCTCCACTCCAAACCAGAAAACGAGAGGGTTGGAAGTGCTTTCCTACTATCAAATTATTATTTATTTGATTTTTCTTCTTTTTTATAAGAGAAAGGGGTTAAAAAGTAGGTTGTAGTAAGATGATACATTTTGGGCGGTTAAAAAAGTTATAAGAGCATTTAGCAGTTGTCTTGTAACCCCTCTTTTATAGAAAATTCAGTGCATTTGTCAGATATTTTTTTCCTTTTTCCTTCACCAGAAAAAGAGAGAATTGACATGATTTTTCGCGAAAATATGTAATTCTAATTTCTACAATAGAAAAAGACAGGTTTTTCTACTATATAACCCTACTTTCTTCCACTAGAAAAAGCGAAGTTCTCCTACTATATAACTCTACTTCTCCCCATTAAAAATGGAGAGGTTTTCCTACTATATAACTCTACTTTCTTCCACTAGAAAAAGCGAGGTTATCCTACTATATAATCCTACTTTCTTTTACTAGAAAAAGCGAAGTTCTTCTACTGTATAACTCTACTTCTCCCCATTAAAAATGGAAAGGTTTTCCTACTATATAACCATACTTTCTTCCACTAGAAAAAGCGAGGATATCCTACTATATAACCCTATTTTCTTCCACTGGAGAAAGCGAGGTTATCCTACTATATAACCCTACTTTCTTTTACTAGAAAAAGCGAAGTTCTTCTACTATATAACTCTACTTCTCCCCATTAAAAATGGAGAGGTTTTCCTACTATATAACTCTACTTTCTTCCACTAGAAAAAGCGAGGTTATCCTACTATATAATCCTACTTTCTTTTACTAGAAAAAGCGAAGTTCTTCTACTGTATAACTCTACTTCTCCCCATTAAAAATGGAAAGGTTTTCCTACTATATAACCATACTTTCTTCCACTAGAAAAAGCGAGGATATCCTACTATATAACCCTATTTTCTTCCACTGGAGAAAGCGAGGTTATCCTACTATATAACCCTACTTTCTTTTACTAGAAAAAGCGAAGTTCTTCTACTATATAACTCTACTTCTCCCCATTAAAAATGGAGAGGTTTTCCTACTATATAACTCTACTTTCTTCCACTAGAAAAAGCGAGGTTATCCTACTATATAATCCTACTTTCTTTTACTAGAAAAAGCGAAGTTCTTCTACTGTATAACTCTACTTCTCCCCATTAAAAATGGAAAGGTTTTCCTACTATATAACCATACTTTCTTCCACTAGAAAAAGCGAGGATATCCTACTATATAACCCTATTTTCTTCCACTGGAGAAAGCGAGGTTATCCTACTATATAACCCTACTTTCTTTTACTAGAAAAAGCGAAGTTCTTCTACTATATAACTCTACTTCTCCCCATTAAAAATGGAGAGGTTTTCCTACTATATAACTCTACTTTCTTCCACTAGAAAAAGCGAGGTTATCCTACTATATAATCCTACTTTCTTTTACTAGAAAAAGCGAAGTTCTTCTACTGTATAACTCTACTTCTCCCCATTAAAAATGGAAAGGTTTTCCTACTATATAACCATACTTTCTTCCACTAGAAAAAGCGAGGATATCCTACTATATAACCCTATTTTCTTCCACTGGAGAAAGCGAGGTTATCCTACTATATAACCCTACTTTCTTTTACTAGAAAAAGCGAAGTTCTTCTACTATATAACTCTACTTCTCCCCATTAAAAATGGAGAGGTTTTCCTACTATATAACTCTACTTTCTTCCACTAGAAAAAGCGAGGTTATCCTACTATATAATCCTACTTTCTTTTACTAGAAAAAGCGAAGTTCTTCTACTGTATAACTCTACTTCTCCCCATTAAAAATGGAAAGGTTTTCCTACTATATAACCATACTTTCTTCCACTAGAAAAAGCGAGGATATCCTACTATATAACCCTATTTTCTTCCACTGGAGAAAGCGAGGTTATCCTACTATATAACCCTACTTTCTTTTACTAGAAAAAGCGAAGTTCTTCTACTATATAACTCTACTTCTCCCCATTAAAAATGGAGAGGTTTTCCTACTATATAACTCTACTTTCTTCCACTAGAAAAAGCGAGGTTATCCTACTATATAATCCTACTTTCTTTTACTAGAAAAAGCGAAGTTCTTCTACTGTATAACTCTACTTCTCCCCATTAAAAATGGAAAGGTTTTCCTACTATATAACCATACTTTCTTCCACTAGAAAAAGCGAGGATATCCTACTATATAACCCTATTTTCTTCCACTGGAGAAAGCGAGGTTATCCTACTATATAACCCTACTTTCTTTTACTAGAAAAAGCGAAGTTCTTCTACTATATAACTCTACTTCTCCCCATTAAAAATGGAGAGGTTTTCCTACTATATAACTCTACTTTCTTCCACTAGAAAAAGCGAGGTTATCCTACTATATAATCCTACTTTCTTTTACTAGAAAAAGCGAAGTTCTTCTACTGTATAACTCTACTTCTCCCCATTAAAAATGGAAAGGTTTTCCTACTATATAACCATACTTTCTTCCACTAGAAAAAGCGAGGATATCCTACTATATAACCCTATTTTCTTCCACTGGAGAAAGCGAGGTTATCCTACTATATAACCCTACTTTCTTTTACTAGAAAANTGCTCCCCCCTTTTTTTTCCTCTTTCTTTATTCTTTTCTTTATTCCTTTACTCTGCAATGGATTCGGTTTGCATCGTTTACTTTTATCAAAATGATTTTTTTTAAAAGAAAATTTCTTTATCCTATGTGCGTTTTTTATGAATGTAAAAGTGTTTATTTGCTTTGGAATGTATATATATATTTTTTGAATGCATCTTTCCACTGTAGCTAGCGGATCCGACTTGATGTAGTTCGGGATGTTTAAGTTAGTAAAATTTTTCTTGTGAAGTTTCTACGAAGTTTCTTGATATTTTTTGATAGAAGACATTTTCAGCAATTTACTGTATAATATTATATGTGAAATTTTTGATAAATATCAGGCTTTGCAATACGAGGGTACTTCAGAGCATTTTTCTTTTATAAAAATAATTTTTAAGAGGAAATTTTTAAAATATTCTTAAATTCTCTTAAAAATAGTCATTTTTAAGGAAAAAAGATATATATTTATATTATTAAAAGATTTTTTAAGTCGAAAGTTTTTATATGAGGGCCTTTGGTTCCCCTTCCTCATTATAATCTATTCTGATTTGTTCTCAGACAGTAATTCTGTTGAATTATGGGAAATTTCTCTAGTTTATAAGGAAGAATTGTAAGTTTAGAAATGTATTATTATTGTAGGGGGAAGCATTAAGTACCCCTTAAAAAACTAAAATTTTGAGTGGCGCCATCTGTTGTGATATTTTATAAATTTAATTTTTTAAAAATGATTTTTATGATAATTAAACACTAAAATTATTATTTTACAATTAAAATAGAATAAATTAATAAAATATTTAAACATATTTTAATTGTTAAATAATAAAATATATTTTAAAAAATTCGTTACAAATATTTTTATTGAAGTCTTTTAAAATATCTATTAATTAATTTAAACAATTAAAAAAATTATTTTTATTCCCATTTAATTATTACCCTATGCTCATATTTATGTATATTTTTTCTTTTACTCTAAATTTACAATTCGCATGACTTAGCGAGATATGATAATATCAGTATCATAGCAACGTATGCTTTTGTTTATTGGAACGAGGACACTTAACACATCATTGGAGAAGAAACAATTCACGAAGAACGTTGGTTTACATTAAGAAAACTTTAAAAATAAAATGAATAATCAAGATAAAAACAGTAAACCCGCTTGGACTACAAGAAATAACATGGGGGAGAAGGATATGGATGCTTATAATACTGAAGATCCCTACGAAGCAACCGATGAAACGGATATTATTCCAGAATCTGAAAGAGTTGGATGCTGGCATGGCTTCATAACTGGTATAAGAGGTAAGATAAGGATAAAATTTAATTGTTTTATCATTAAAAACCCTTCAGAAATTACAATCTTCAAGCTTTCTTTCAAGCCTACAATGGTCGAGATTTGTTGTACGGTACCCCCACAAGATTGAGAAGGGTTATAATCGATTCCAAATTCTAATTTTCTACCCTAAAAACAATCCTTATAACTTTTTCTTGTTAAAACGGTGTTAATTATAGTTTATTATTATTATTATATCTATTGTTTAACGAGCTAGAGCTTCAAAGATTATTGTACTCCTTGATGGATCTTTAGGATAAATGGTTATCACAAAGGCCAACGTTTAATTGTTTTTCTTTGATAAATTTTGGGACAGTTTGTTTGTCTTTTAGAGCTTTATATTGTTGCATGATATAGTTTTTGCATCCCTTCTACATTACACTTTTCCTGTTAACAATAGAGTCATGCCAGTTATCTATGTAACTCCGATCTAGGAATCTTTTGAATTAAAATAACGTGATTTTTGGTCGTTATCTAAAGTTCTTATATAATTAATCGAGGCCTTCTGTCCCAATCTTTTCATATCTTGCCTCAAATTTCATCTATCTAACACCGTTCTCGAGATAAAGGAAGGACAGACAGACGGACAGACAATGGGAATTTATAAGTCTACAATTTTTTCAAATTGCAGCCTAATTATTTCAAATCAAAATAATTCATTTTTATTGATTTTATATGTTAATGACGTTACAAAACGTTACAAAATTGTCAAATTATGTGTTCTTTTGTGGGGGATTTTAATTCAGAAATTAAAATCTATTAAGTGTATTTTTCTACGTATTCATACTTTATTGTATAGCGTGACAGACAGATTAATTTCGAATGAAAATTGCGTAGGACACGGTTTTTTTAAACCATTTTTATTAGCTTATACACCTCTTCCAACTTGATTAGGTCCTAGTTTTAATACTAAAATTTTTAAATTTATTTTTTCATTATCTATTCGTCTGTCAGTTTGTCTATCCATATTTTCATACACTTTCTAGTAATCTCGAAGAGATATTCAGATCTCAAGAGTTGCATTTCGTTCTCGTATTAAGACGTTGTCTACAGGACCTAAAAAAAGTGAGATTGAACCGTCTAGATTCAGATAGGCCATTCTGGCTCCTTATCTGGGTTGGCTTGATGGAATACGGCAAAGCAATACGAAGTCGAACTGTCATAGTGGAGAAGTTTCTAAGGAAAACTGTCCCCTATTTAGGTAAAGAAAATTCGAAAACCCTAGTCGGCCAGTTCATTGATTAGGCGCGAAATGATGACCCACTACCAATTCAAGTGATTTTATCCACTAGGTCACTGGTGGGAACCCCTATCTGTATAAATTTTTCTATACACTAAAAATTGTCTTTCTCAATACAAGTTCATATCGAATGATTCTGTTTCCTTTTTAAATAAGTGTATTGAAAATATTCTTCCTGTCCTAAGTTTCCTGTAAAGTTCCTCCTAGCTTAAGTTTCCCTGAGAAGTTCCCCCTGTCTTGAGTTTTTCCTGAATATTCCCTATGTCTTAAATTTTCCCTGAATATTCCCTATGTCTTAAGTTTTCCCTGAATATTCCCTATGTCTTAAGTTTTCCCTGAATATTACCTGTCTTAAGTTCCCCTGAATATTACCTCTGTCTTAAGTTTTCCCTGAATATTCCCTATGTCTTAAGTTTCCCTGAATATTCCCTCTGTCTTAAGTTTTTCATGAATATTACCTGTCTTAAGTTTCCCTCAATATTACCTTTGTCTTAAGTTTTCCCTGAATATTCCCTATGTCTTAAGTTTTACCGAGAAGTTTCCTTACGATCCCTGTCCTAGAAATTAAAAAAAGAAAAATTTAAATTTTAAAGTTAATTTTATCGTTTCCGTCTGTTTGAGTATACGCAAAATTTCTTGGAAATTAAATTACTGGCGATTTTTTTTTATGTAAGAATTATAAACTACTACTACTACTTATTATCAGTTATAGAAGCTATGGCAATTTAAAATATAATTATTTCATTTTTAAAAATGAATTTTTAAGTTTCAAAGTATTAAAATCGAGACGGATTTAAGATCAGACACGTAATAAATTTAACTTTATAAATTCCAGAGTCGTTTTTAATATTTAATTTCTTAAAAACGTTAAAGGTTATTATATCGATTTATCTTTATAAAATTTTTATCTTTCAAATTAAAATTTATTAGATTCTCCATATAATTTATCATAAAGACTGTTTGTTCTCTATTAATGCACTGTACTGTATACACTTACAGGATCGCTTATAAGAATTATAGAACACCCCTGACTCTGACTCATCCCTTCTTAAAAAAATAGGCCCCATTTCGCGCTTCCACAGATTAAGGGCCCCATACGTGTTCCTCCTACGAAAATGATCTATCTTTGAGTCAACGGAGGTAGGATCGCGATATTAACTTCTTGAAATTTTAGTATTGATGGTCTACCTTCCTTTAAATCGAAGAAAGGTAGGCCCTTATCAAGGCAAGCTGGAAGCTTAAACCCTCTCTGGCGATGGCTCATCTCTCTTTGAATTAATAATGATTTTTCTCTGGATTCTCCAAACCCTTGCAATAATAACCCATCTCTTTTTTGAATTAACGAGAGGAGGCCCTAATCATGTGCTTCACGAAACCTCAGGCCTTTTATGTATTCTCTCTGGTGGTTATTCACTTCTTCTTGAACCACAAAAAATGGATCTCACCACGGCCTTTCTGGAGAAATATCATTGGAAGATAGGAGGAGTCCCATCCTCTTTAGTGAAAGACCCATTTTATTTTTGACAACACGAGTTGGACCCCTTGCCACGAGTTACAGAGTTAGGCCCCTTGCTCTACCTGCACCCTTATGGGCAACCACGCACAAACAAATGTATTAAGCGGTTGTTTACGCGTATTTATATAGAAACAAGAAAAGCGCTATTGTGTTGTAAACTGTCCAGTACATTTTTAGCATCGAAATTTAATTTTGGCATGGAACCACAACGAAAAAATTCGGCATTAATTACAATAGAACTCACGTACTTATTTAATTTTAATTTTATTTTTTAAAGTGACAATTCCGATAGATTCGAGTCACGAAAATTATGTTTGAAATCTCTGCTATGGTAACAAGGCATTAAATAGGATGAACACCTTTGCGTGATAGTCCAGGATATCTGAAGGTTAATTTCGTTACATCGATCGTCACGTGATCATCTCTACCCCTCTTTACAATTCAGCAAAAAAAAAAAAATAATGCATAATTAACTCGTAAATTATCCATAAATCGATATAAACTTATAAAAATTTTCGACTTTTTATCAACTTAATTTGTTTAAGAATAGGATAAAAAAATTGCTAAAATTTCTATGAATTTTTAAAAAAATTATATATTTTTGTATAAACATTTAAAGATTTTTATGTTATAATTAAGTTTTTAATTAAATGTTTTAATGTTTTTTAACGAATTTTAAAATATTTTAACATAAATTTATAGACACCCATTTAGAATGTGCGAAATAATTCTATTAAAGTCAGTTGTTGTGAATAAACAGGTTTTTGCTTTTCGTGTTTAAAATTTGTCATAAATTAAATATTTAACGTTTTGTAGGTATATTTGCCACGCGGGATATGAAAAAAGGTGGAGAAAATGACAGAGAATGGATAATTAGGACAACAGTAAAAGAACTTTTCTTATACCTGATTTTTCTTATTATACTGTGTATATGTAAGTAAGCATAGTGTCATAATTTATTTACTTTATTATTATTATTTAAGTTTAAATGTTTAAAAGTAAGATATTTAATTACATTCACACACTGTTTATTTATATTTCGTACTTTATTTGTGATAAAATGCGGGATAACCTTCCTTCAGAATTTGTCGCTACCGTCATATTTGACCATATATACTGACGTGGCGACGATTGGCGCGACGCGTAGCGCTTGTTAGAAATTGCTTTATACCCGTAACTAATAAAGTAAATAGTAGTTTCTGAGAAATAGAAATCATCCACTGTAAATACAACGTTTTATAATGTAAATAATTGTTAAAATATCATTTCTTTCGTGATAAAATCTAATATTTTAAATTTTTGCGCGCGCGCGCTGTGCGACATTTTAAATTCGCTTCCAATTAATTAAAAATATGAGAATTTCATTTACTAAAATAATAAATCTTTCATAAAACGCTTAAACTCTTTAAATTTATTATTATTTTGAAAATAAAATAAAATTTCTATTGATTTTATATAAAAATGTTCAACGCGACGCGTGTTAAGCGCAGCGCTACGCGTCGCGTTAAACCTTTATGGCCTCCGGATCCCTCAAAGGTTGCGTTGCCTTATTTTATCAATCAACCTTTTCTAATACATTATGAATCGAGTGTTTCTATAGAACTTTTTAAAGGAAACTGTATAAGAATTATAATATTTATCCAATAGTAACCTTTGGAATGATGAGCCCAACTATGTATTACTTAACTAAAGTGATTAGTGAGTTATTTTTGGAAACTCCTTACGAAGATACAAGAAACAATGTAAAGGGTTCTACTCAAGTCATAGATTTTTGGAGGGTAATCATTTACGTATACATATTTTTCATTTTATTTTATTTCTAGAATAGTGTAAAACGTGTTTTAAAATCTCTTACAGTTCGAGCAATACGTGATGCACGAATGTCTCTATTGGGAAACGTGGTACAACGATGATCCTACAGTGATGCAAGACAGGAATATATTGTATGAAAACTATCTTCTGGGTTCTCCCAGATTACGTCAGTTGAGGGTTAGAAACGATTCGTGTGCCGTTCATCCGGATTTTACTTCTTCCATATCCGAATGTTACGATGTTTATGATCCAAGTATTGAAGATACCAGGCCTTTCGGCCTTCTTAATGGCACCGAGTGGGTATATAGTAATTGTAAAACTTTTACTGTATAAGAAGATAAAAAATAAACATCTAACTTCTTCCATTTTTGCTAATATTAGATGGACATACCATACAGAGAAAGAAATGAATGGCTCTAGTCACTGGGGTCTACTAGCTACTTATAGTGGAGCAGGATCTTATGTTGATCTTGGAACTGATAAAAATACATCAAAGGAGAAAATGAGTACTTTAAAAACGAATCTCTGGTTGACCAGAGCTACGAGGGCTGTTTTTCTTGATTTTACCACTTACAATGCAAATTTGAATTTGTTTTGCGTGGTCAAGTAAGTTGCAACATTAATAAAATGCAGAAAATCATAATGAAAATTCAGTTATATCATAACTCTTATTTAAAATCGTAAAAGAAATGCGTTGCAACACGGTGTTACAACGCGTTGCAATTTGGAAAACAATATTGAATCATCGTGTTGCATAATAGGAAACCTTTACAATTTTTTTATTATGTTGAAAATTTAATTTACTTTGTTTACTTAATGTAAACATAACCAAATAAAAATTATTTATATCCATTTATAACAGGATCGTATTCGAGTTTCCAGCTACAGGAGGAATGATACCATCCTGGAGCTTCAGAACGGTTAAACTGTTGCGTTACGTTTCAGCATCTGATTATATTGTACTCGGATGTGAAATTGCCTTTTGCGTTTTCATAATTTACTACACTATCGAAGAAATATTAGAGGTTAGTATATTTTTGAATACATTTCTTAAGTTGTCTTCATCAAAATCACGAGTAATGGATCCCTAGATAAAAAGGAATAAGTGCTCTTACTTCAAAGGATTCTGGAATCTGATGGATTTACTTGTTGTAATAGTAAGTAGTGTAAATATTTTAATAAAATTGCTTTTTTATAGAGTAATAATTAGTAATTTTCTACAAAATTTTTAGACTTCCATCATTTGTATTGGGTTCAGCGTGTTCCGCACATCAGCAGTTAATCGTCTCTTGGATAATTTGATTAATACACCAGAAGACTATTCAAATTTTGAATTTTTAGGATATTGGCAAACACAATTCAATAATCTTGTAGCCTGCACTGCATTTCTTGCTTGGATTAAAGTTTTTAAATATATAAGTTTCAATAAAACTATGACTCAACTTTCTTCCACGCTCTCCAGGGTTTGTACATCGTTGGTTTATATGATTTATCTTTTTCGAAACAATAGTTTTTATTACTTTGATCTATTTGCAGTGTTCAAAAGACGTTGCTGGTTTTGGCATCATGTTTTTTATTGTCTTTTTTGCCTTTGCACAATTGGGTTATCTTCTTTTTGGCACTCAAGTTTTCGATTACAGCACATTTGTTAAAGCCGTGTAAGTGAATTCTATAGTCAAATATGAATTTAAACTTGTAAGAAAATTAAAAACGTTGATGGTTAATTAGCAAAATTCTTTTTCAGATTTACGTTGCTCCGATTGATTTTGGGCGATTTTAATTTTTACGATCTAGAAGCCGCAAACCGGATTTTGGGACCGATATATTTTCTAAGTTATGTATTCTTCGTTTTCTTTGTTTTAATGGTGAGTCACATTTCAAAAATGGTCCTATATTTGGTAATAATATAAAAGTTTTTAGAGATTTATCATTGCCATCTCTTAGAACATGTTTCTAGCCATCATCAATGATACTTATGCAGAAGTCAAGACAGAGTTATCCAATCAGAAGAACGAGTTTGAAATCGTTGATTACTTCAAACGAGTATAAATTATTACACAAATATTTACGTTTATATTTAATTAATTTAGTAAAATTTTCAACCGTTTTTAAACTTTTTAGGGATATAATAATATTTTGGGAAAATTAGGAAAGAGAGATCAATTGGTGGATCTACAGAATGCATTGAAGTTAGCTGATACTGATGGAGATTGTCAGCTATCTTTTGAAGAAGTTAGACGTACTTTAAAAGAGTAAGATTAAAAATATTTGCTCTTTAATTCTTATTCTTCTTTAGGTTTTACTCTCCTGTTTTAAAGTCATGAATTTTATAGCTTTCGGTAATGTTTTAAGCTTCATCTTCCATTCATCCGTTTAGGAAGAATTTTACTGATATGGAGATTGAGATGCTGTTTGCTAAATATGATGTCAATGGCGATCGAATCTTGGATGAAAGAGAAACAAAGTACATGTTAGCCGATTTAGAAGGCCAGAAAGTTCAATTAGATCGAGAAATTCATCATAATTCAACAGGAGGCGGCGGGGAATTAGGAGTTGACCCAAATATGGTAGCCTCTAAAGAAGAATACAACATGTAGGTTATGTTGTATTCTATGTATAATTAATTAAAGATATAATTTTAATATTTAAAATATATTCAGGCTTTATAATCGCGTGGATAAAATGGAACAATCGATTATAAATATCGTTTCTAAAATCGATTTGGTGTTGGAAAAGATGCAAGCCATGGAGAAAGCCAAAGTTAAGAGAAGAGAAAACATGAATAAGATACTCGATACGATTTCTGAGGTTAATTTAATAATTATTTTATTTCGATATTTAATTAGCTTTTATATTTAATTTTAATGTTTTAAACTGTAGAATGAACACATGGATGATCGAACAAAGAAGCAGCAGATGGAAAGATTGGTAAGAGAGGAATTACAAAGATGCGATTCTGATCTCTCTCTTCGTCAGGTAATTTTTGTAATTTTTAATAGAACTTCAACTCTTAAATTCATCATCATAATGTAATATTATTTTTGTAGGAATCATCTGGATATTCAAAATAATCGGATTTTGTTAAATGTTAATTTGCTTTAATGTACAGAAGCAAAATTGATGAGGCCTACATAGGCCTATATATATATATATATATATATTTGTTTCTTTGCTTTGAGATTTCTGCAGACATTAGATTTAGGTGAATTTAGAGAAAAAGATTCCTTAATACTCAAAGTTAAAAACAAAATTTATTTCTGGAACTACATCATATTTACAATTTAGTTCCAGAACTAAAGTGATTGTATAGTTTAATATGTTTTTGTATTTCATAAAAGTTATAAACACTATCTTTTAATAACATTACAGCAATTACTATTTGCTTGTATTTAAAAATTAATGCTATCTAAATAGAATTCAATGCTCAATAACTTTACAAATATAATCAATCAACATTTTTAGATTTAAACTATTCAAACTCAAAATTAAGTTTAAGATAAAATTAACAGTATTTGAAAAATTTTCAAAATAACTACAAGTAAATAAATAATAAAAAATTTAAGTTAGTTAAAAGTTTATAGATATGAATCGTTAGGAAGACAATTCTTCTAAAAGAAATTTTATAATTTAATTAGCAGATATCAGAATACAATAATAATAATTATTATTATTATATTTTATGTAAATTATTTCAGAAATAGTATTAAGAAAGTTTCAATTATAAAAGATTGTGCAGTAAGTTTAGGTAGTTCATGATAAAAACAATTCTTTTCCTGATTTAAGAAATAATTGATTGATGTTTGTTTATGACATTGCTTATAATATGATACCTATTTGTTCTTTTTTTTTTAAAAAAATCAGGATATAAACATTGTTAACAAGGAACAAAATATAGACACTGTTTTAAGATAATTCTCATGAAAGCATGTATCATATCTCATCAAAATCAAAACATTTATTATACAATCTAATTTGATTTCTATAATTACTATTACTAATTATAATAGTAATACAAAGTACTTCTAATTTCTGAAAAAATTCCATTTGATAATTCCATTTCATTAGATATACTGTTTTTTCAGTTGCTGCACAAACAAAATCCTCTGAAGTTGAAAATAAATGACAACCAGTTAAATTTAATACAGGTCTTTGTTTCAGAGGTTCATCAAATCTGCCATTCTCCATTTTCTCTTCTAATTCTTTCAAATCGAACATCCATAATTCTCTTTCTTCCCCTATTTAAATAAATTTATTAAAAAAATAAAAATAAAACAAATTAACATACATAATAAATTTATTACCTGATATAACAATAATCAGATTAAGCTGATTTACGACTGAAATCTGGTAAACATGATGAAAATTCTCAAGTTTATACTTAACACTTTTCATTGAAAGATCAAGTAAGTCTATAACATATAAACCTTCCTTAGCTCCAAGTAATGCTTCCTAAAAAAAGTATATTTTTAAAAATATTAAACTTTAAAATGTTTAATGTCTTATTTTATTGTTAATTTGTTAGCTTATAGCCTTTACNCAAAAAAATATACGTATTTTGGAAATGTTGAGTCGAATTAGTCTAGAATCGATTAATTTTATGAAAGAAAACCTTTCAAACAGCCGTAGTCCGTAAACTATGATTCCTACAAAATTGATTCATAAAGAACGGAACGTATCTACCGTCTTATAGGGGGATCTACTGTATTTAATTGAGTGGGTTGATAGAATGTGTTGAGCAAATCAACACATGGACAATCTACCGAGGGAGTGCCTCCTGAGTAGATTATAATGCACAATCAGTTAATCAGTTAAACAATATTAAATAAACTGAACAATACCGAAATTTAATTTATTTATCGATAACTGTCGAGTTACTACAAGAGTCACTGTATTCAAAATGGGCACAATTTGTTAAAACATGAGTTAGAAAGAAACTTTTAATGCGCTCCCAAAGTCCGGCATTTACTTTAATTCCATCTTTTTCTAACGGGTTCGTGGACTGTTGAAAATTATTTCCATGCTGAACAGCACAAATCCTGTCTTTCATTGAACCTCTGTAACATGGTGCTGTATGATATCTTCTGTACTTAGAACCTAATCGAGTTTAGAAAAAAAAATTAAGAAAATTACACGATTCCATTTATAATTTTAGATCTACTAAAAGAACAATATATATTTTAATTAAGTTATTTATATTATATTATTGTAAATAAGTCCCATAAGTCTGGAGCCATCGGAGTTATATTAATCCTTGTTTATTCTTTTACAGGTGAAGCGTGGCACTGAATGAAGAACGAATTCAATTTAAAGCTGGGGACATTCAGTCGGCTTGAAGTTACCGAAGAGTTTAACAGGCTGCATCCATACTGTTGCGTGTGGTAAGTTCAGATGCAGCCTGTTAAACTCTTCGACAATTTCATGCAGACTAAAAATTCTTTGCATAAATAACTCGAATTCATTCCTCCTTATATAATTATTCAATGCAATGCTTTACCTGCAAAATCATAAACAGAGATCAATATAACTCCTATGATTCTAGACTTAAGGATGGAGAATTGGAGTAACACATAGGCTTTAGACAGTGAAGAGTATTCGGAAAACTGCACGAAGGCGCGATCCCACGACCAGTGTTCCAGTGAATGGATAAATTGGTAGTTTTATATCCGACCACCGGCGGACACTCAAGACTTATGAGACACCCTGTATAATTTTAAATACATGAATTTTCTCACTTACTTAAACAGTAACAGCAATACACTCTTGAATCTAAATAGGATTCATGAATTGTAAGATCTTTATTATTAACTGGCAAGTCTTTGGCAAATGTACCTGCTCAATAACCATTATTTATTAATGAAATTCATTATTTTCATAGCAAACAATGAAACTTACTGTTATAACATCTGCAAGTCTCATATTTAGTTCTTAGTTCTGAGTCTTTCCACGGTTGAAGATATACATGCTCCAAACCATCTAGAAGTGTAATGGATGTTTGATTATCTTCTATGAGGAAACATGATAAAAATTCAAGGCACAAAGCAGCGTCTTGAATGGTAACGTCACTCGAATAAGGATGAAAATGTTTCAAGATTTTCTTAAAGTCGATTGGATCGGCTAGTATATTGGGTAGTATTGTACGCAGTCTTTCTTGATCACAAATAACATTTTCATAATTGTACCGCTTTATTAGTTCTTTAATTCCTCCTCGAGTTATCACTTGCAATGCAAATATCCCAAATTCCCATAGATCTAGTTTGGCAGTTGAATATGTACCAGTTTTGGTAATAATGTCTCGAAATTCATAATTTGATAATTTCAACTGAAGAGGATCAACGATGTACTCCATATCTGTCAATGAAGTAAAATCTGATATCATGGCATTCAGATAACTAGACAACATGATGGTTTCTATTTGCAAATTGACAAGATATAACTTGTTATCATGTAAATAAGATAATGCGTCCAAGATTTCTCTGATCCATTTTTTACATAATAAATATCCCCATGACTTTTTACATATACTAGACATCTTTAACCTCTCTTCTAATGTACACAGGCACGCTGGCATGATGAAGGCGTACATCTCCTTTGAGATATTTAGCGCTTGTATCAATATCAAAATATTTGGATGAGACAGAAGTGGCCAAAATAATCTTTCTCCGTCACTAACTTTATTCCTAATTCTTACAGTTACTTCGCGCCCAGTTCTATCCAGCATTAATAAAAGAAATCCTCCCTTAAAATCGATATATTTTCTATATTTATAGCCGTAGTTCTCCATTATGGTAATTTCTTTGGATGTATAAAGCGTTTTCAATGATAGTATCTTCAAAGGAGTAATTTTGGAAGACATATTAATTAACATCTGGCAAATTAACCGAACGAAAACAATACTTTTGCGAAATAATACTTAATTTAACAATGTTTAATGATGTTTTATTGTACCTGCTTGTAAGGGGCCTATCCAAAAAATTTGTCTGTTTTGTTTATTGTAAACCAGAATTTTTAAACTCATATATTGTAGAAGTTTGTTAAATGTAGGAGTTGACTGCTAACTCCATGGACTCTTTCCTGAGACAACTCCATGGAATAATTTTGGACATATGTTTAGATTAAGGCACTCCAGGAAAAATAAATTTCCTAAACAAACCACAGCAGGTTTCGAGGATAACACTCGAGACAATGATAACGTGTTATCCATTTAAACAGGAAACCCATACTTTTGTTTAGACCGCCATTGACTTGAAAATAATAAACCGACTAAGGAACAATTAAAAAAAATTAATGCAATTTTAAAAGGGGGTGTTCCGGGGTGTGGATAATAAGCAGCAGCAAGTAGAAATATCGACTTCATCTTCATTTGTTATGTTATTTTATAATAAAACTAGATGAGCCCGGCGTTGCCCGGGCAAAAACTAACAACAGCAAAGATTAAGATTATTGATTATTTCGTACTTCCAATCCATCTATTATATTACATTATAGTATTTGATTTATATGTATAAAGGTTATCTTACGTAAGAGTTTATCACATCGAGTGCCCACTCTGACACATTTTAAAAATTCTTTAAATTGTATACGGTAAAGGAATAAAGAATTTTAAAATGGTAACTCGGTGTGATAAACTCTTACGTAAGATAACCTTTGTTGTTATATAAATTAAACACTATAATATAAAACATTAAAACGAAAACCATATAAAGAGTTTGGTTACTTCAGCCTACAGTCACGTTTATCACGATACTCGGGTTATACGAAATGGCACAAATTCATTGGTCAAGTAGACACCAATTGAAATTATATCTTAAATTTTTTCAGATATATTGTTTCCTATTGTTAGTTCTACGAAACTGTACCATTCACAGCCGAATATCAAACGGTAATCTACCAACCAATCAAATTTCACAAAAACCAGACCAAAAAAGGTGTGACTTCTCTCGATCGTTTCGATCTCGATTGAAACGAGGTTCAATCACGATCGACTCAAAAGAGTTTTTGAAACTAGTTCCAGTCATAAGAGAATTTCCACAATCCCACGCGCGCGAGAAGAAACAAGATGGCTGCGGAACACGTGTCTGGCTATCAACACAGAAATACAAAAGACATTTAGAGAGACGATGCGATCTGCTAATTATTAGATATATGGCAAGAAAAAGTATTATTTCTAACCAAACTTTCCATTTTATTCGTTGGTGTTCGTGACTTACCGCGTAGTTATGCCATCTTCGTTTTTCATTGTTACAGTTATGAAATAGTCAACCGTCAAAAGAAAATTACCAATAACGTGACTCGTTAGATTTCGCCACTACATTAACTTAACTATTTTTTGTTGAATAAAACATCCCGCGGAAAACGGGATTTCAAAAATTGCCTATAGCCTTATTGTTAAGCTCCCCTCCACGGTAATCTTTAGTAAAGATTTTATTAAAGTTTAAAAGTATGTACATCAATTGGATGTTAAAAACCATCCATTTTCTTATAGAAAGATAGCCCGACATCATAAGAATCATATATAACAATATATATCTTAAATTATATATTAACATTAACATGGTCTCAAGCAGTATATTCCATGGTAAAATCGTTAAATCACATACACTCTTATCCATTTTAGACTATCAGTTTGTTTCCAATCAACATCAAACAGTGTGGACGGTCATCAAAGACACTGCCCCGCCACCAATTTACGCGAACCAGTGTAAATAACTATTTAAAACACCGTTCTGTTTCAATAAACACTAAAAAGTGAAACATTTAAAACACCGTTCTGTTTATTCTGTAAGTATACTTCAGGAATGTACGAGAGGCTTTTCTGTGTACCGCTTATTTAAAACCCACTTGAATGAAGACAGAAGACGCCGACGAAAGACGACAAAGGGCTCTTTGTTTCTCATTGACGATAGTGGAGTGTTATGCTTCGCTTGTCACTCCAAAAGAAACAAAGTGATTGGTCGCACAGCGACCAAACAGCGATTTTATCGAAGACGACCAGTCCTAAAAAGATAGAAGAAAGGTCACTAAGCAACCAAATGTGGCCTCATAGGAGACGACCCCCGCAAGTAAGGGAGACAGAATGCCTTCCTGGAGGACTTCGAAAGGAAGCTGGCCCCTATTCAGGCGTCATTGGAAAGGAGGAAAACCCGGAAAAAACTCCCGCTGCCAGCTCCTCCGAGTGACGTGCGAACCCCGGTGTTAAGGGTCTGGTCATCACTATCAAGCGTAGACGGAGTCCACTCGGCCGCCGATAAGCCTTAAAGGACTCTTTGTGTCCTGCATCTTTAATTATAAAGTAAAGTCACTATGCGCCACCAGCATTAATTTTAAAATCAAAATATAAATTGATGTACACACACTCAGCAATAGTATATAAATAAAAAAAACACACANGTTTTTAATTAAATGTTTTAATGTTTTTTAACGAATTTTAAAATATTTTAACATAAATTTATAGACACCCATTTAGAATGTGCGAAATAATTCTATTAAAGTCAGTTGTTGTGAATAAACAGGTTTTTGCTTTTCGTGTTTAAAATTTGTCATAAATTAAATATTTAACGTTTTGTAGGTATATTTGCCACGCGGGATATGAAAAAAGGTGGAGAAAATGACAGAGAATGGATAATTAGGACAACAGTAAAAGAACTTTTCTTATACCTGATTTTTCTTATTATACTGTGTATATGTAAGTAAGCATAGTGTCATAATTTATTTACTTTATTATTATTATTTAAGTTTAAATGTTTAAAAGTAAGATATTTAATTACATTCACACACTGTTTATTTATATTTCGTACTTTATTTGTGATAAAATGCGGGATAACCTTCCTTCAGAATTTGTCGCTACCGTCATATTTGACCATATATACTGACGTGGCGACGATTGGCGCGACGCGTAGCGCTTGTTAGAAATTGCTTTATACCCGTAACTAATAAAGTAAATAGTAGTTTCTGAGAAATAGAAATCATCCACTGTAAATACAACGTTTTATAATGTAAATAATTGTTAAAATATCATTTCTTTCGTGATAAAATCTAATATTTTAAATTTTTGCGCGCGCGCGCTGTGCGACATTTTAAATTCGCTTCCAATTAATTAAAAATATGAGAATTTCATTTACTAAAATAATAAATCTTTCATAAAACGCTTAAACTCTTTAAATTTATTATTATTTTGAAAATAAAATAAAATTTCTATTGATTTTATATAAAAATGTTCAACGCGACGCGTGTTAAGCGCAGCGCTACGCGTCGCGTTAAACCTTTATGGCCTCCGGATCCCTCAAAGGTTGCGTTGCCTTATTTTATCAATCAACCTTTTCTAATACATTATGAATCGAGTGTTTCTATAGAACTTTTTAAAGGAAACTGTATAAGAATTATAATATTTATCCAATAGTAACCTTTGGAATGATGAGCCCAACTATGTATTACTTAACTAAAGTGATTAGTGAGTTATTTTTGGAAACTCCTTACGAAGATACAAGAAACAATGTAAAGGGTTCTACTCAAGTCATAGATTTTTGGAGGGTAATCATTTACGTATACATATTTTTCATTTTATTTTATTTCTAGAATAGTGTAAAACGTGTTTTAAAATCTCTTACAGTTCGAGCAATACGTGATGCACGAATGTCTCTATTGGGAAACGTGGTACAACGATGATCCTACAGTGATGCAAGACAGGAATATATTGTATGAAAACTATCTTCTGGGTTCTCCCAGATTACGTCAGTTGAGGGTTAGAAACGATTCGTGTGCCGTTCATCCGGATTTTACTTCTTCCATATCCGAATGTTACGATGTTTATGATCCAAGTATTGAAGATACCAGGCCTTTCGGCCTTCTTAATGGCACCGAGTGGGTATATAGTAATTGTAAAACTTTTACTGTATAAGAAGATAAAAAATAAACATCTAACTTCTTCCATTTTTGCTAATATTAGATGGACATACCATACAGAGAAAGAAATGAATGGCTCTAGTCACTGGGGTCTACTAGCTACTTATAGTGGAGCAGGATCTTATGTTGATCTTGGAACTGATAAAAATACATCAAAGGAGAAAATGAGTATTTTAAAAACGAATCTCTGGTTGACCAGAGCTACGAGGGCTGTTTTTCTTGATTTTACCACTTACAATGCAAATTTGAATTTGTTTTGCGTGGTCAAGTAAGTTGCAACATTAATAAAATGCAGAAAATCATAATGAAAATTCAGTTATATCATAACTCTTATTTAAAATCGTAAAAGAAATGCGTTGCAACACGGTGTTACAACGCGTTGCAATTTGGAAAACAATATTGAATCATCATGTTGCATAATAGGAAACCTTTACAATTTTTTTATTATGTTGAAAATTTAATTTACTTTGTTTACTTAATGTAAACATAACCAAATAAAAATTATTTATATCCATTTATAACAGGATCGTATTCGAGTTTCCAGCTACAGGAGGAATGATACCATCCTGGAGCTTCAGAACGGTTAAACTGTTGCGTTACGTTTCAGCATCTGATTATATTGTACTCGGATGTGAAATTGCCTTTTGCGTTTTCATAATTTACTACACTATCGAAGAAATATTAGAGGTTAGTATATTTTTGAATACATTTCTTAAGTTGTCTTCATCAAAATCACGAGTAATGGATCCCTAGATAAAAAGGAATAAGTGCTCTTACTTCAAAGGATTCTGGAATCTGATGGATTTACTTGTTGTAATAGTAAGTAGTGTAAATATTTTAATAAAATTGCTTTTTTATAGAGTAATAATTAGTAATTTTCTACAAAATTTTTAGACTTCCATCATTTGTATTGGGTTCAGCGTGTTCCGCACATCAGCAGTTAATCGTCTCTTGGATAATTTGATTAATACACCAGAAGACTATTCAAATTTTGAATTTTTAGGA